GTGTGTGTATGGGGGGGCAGTATGGGGGACAGTGTGTGTGTATGGGAGGCTGTATGGGGGGCAGTGTGTGTGTATGGGGGCAATGTGTGTGTGTGTACACCCCCCCCAGCCTACCTGTCACCTGTGGGGGTCAGGCAGCCATCTTCAGCAGCAGCATGGGCTGCTGCATAACGGCGGGGGCGGGGCTTACCGGCGGGAGGCGGGGCTTCGTTTGGGGGCGGGGCCTGTGTCGGGGAGCCAATCAGTGCTCCCTCCGGCCACAGACAGCCTCCAGCACCTCAGCACTGCATTCCCTCCCCGGCTGTAACAGGCTGTGACAGTCCGAGGGAAGCAGATGGCCAGCTAGTTGCCAGCATTTGGGGGGGCCCAAGGGGGGGCACAGCATCATGTAGGGGGGCCATGGCCCCCTCTGGCCCCCCCCTAGCGACGCCACTGGAGATAGACAATTAATGCATTGGAACATTGTCAATTAATGTTTCATAGCTAAAAAAGTCATGATACCACATTACTGTGTGCTGGGGTGTCTGTTATTATATGAAAATGGTTTGAAAAAGTGGAAGGACTGCACCACAGCCACTATAATAAGCTGTAACAATATAATGAGCTGCAGTGGTTATGGTGCTTGATATATCAAACTGTGTACTTAGGTTCATAATATAACTACTGGATAGAACAGAAGGTTATCAATCATTTCATTGTTATTATCAGGCAAATTAGTTCCACAGAATGAGTAACTTATGTTCCCATGCCAAGGAATGACGTACAAAATGAAAATAAATACCTCAACAATTCAATACCCCAACACCTTTAGCCATTCTGTTACTCCTTAATAATCAGGGCCAATGGTGATTGGGGGATTTAAATATAAAAATAAAGAGTGAATTATCAACAGACTGTCCATGTAAGAAATATGACCTCATACAAAGTATCACATTAACATTCCAAATCAAATCATGTATCATTTCCAACTTTTGTTTTTTTTTATCTCCCCAGTAATGTCCTCCAATTGACAGATCTGTTATTAGATTACCACGAGCCTCTTCACAGAGATTGAAATCCGTGTATGCGGTTATCACTGCTGTTCATTGATGCTGCTTCTACAGGTATATTGTCTAGTTTCCATCATACGGATCAGTCTGTCGCTGCAAAAGTCAGTAAGGCTACAAATCTACTAATTCATTCAGTGAGTTAAAATATTCGTTTGCCATTTATAAAGCAATGTGAAGAACCCACACATGGAATATATGGAGCAATTTCAGGCACTGTTTTTAAGAAAGATATTATAGAATTGGAACATGTGCAGTGGTAGCTTGAAAAAATAAAGGTCAATTTAGTAATAAATAAAGGAATGATAATTTGTATTTGTTTAGAATAGTAAATGCATTGCATAGGGGATATAGTAATTTATACAGTGATCTGACGTATTTCCAGGTCCAATATAAACAGCTGATGTCCTGTTTAATAACTAGACTGCATTTTACTTTATGTAAAAACAAGAGATTTCACCTACAACAGGGAACATATGCTATAAACAATATGATAGTCTCTGCATCTGAAGCTTGTTTAATTAGATATATTAGATGTATTTTAAAAAGTCTAGAACGATTTTGTGGGATTATGATATGGACAATGTGGGGCATATTTTATGGATATTGTTAACAAGTCAATCAAATGATAAATCTATGTTTCACCTTGGAATCTGGAGGAATGTATTTAGCTTTTCAGCACAATTGTAAATCTTAGACATTTGCCGGCTGATTTAGGTTTCTGAGTAGTTTATCTAAAGCTTTGATTTTTTTTATTTATTTAACTTTGTGTAGATAGCACAGACTATTTAGCGTCAATAATTTCCCATCTTCTTTTGTATTTCAAGCAAAATGAGAGATTTGTGAACAGATGTAATTTGATAATTTTTGCAAACAGTGTTACTAGGTAACTATTTAGTGGCAGCCAAATTAACAGCATTTTATATATTTCCATGTTTTGATATATTTAATAAGTAACTTTGCAAAAGGTAGGGGTTTCAAATTTAAGTTTTTTGACCCCTGAATAAAATACCAGGAGATATAGCTTCCTCAATAATCACCACCGATATTTAACTTATTTTAATTTCATTCCAGTTTATATCTACAGGGTGAGCCAAAATTCACAGTAGGGATTGAGGAGTCAATAACTTTTTATTAATGAACCAATTTTAATGATATTACATACAATTAATGCTCAATGTATGGAGATTTGTTGGACTGAGTATGGAAGATGACATCTTTGAAATTAGCTCCATTTGCTGCAACGCAAAGTCCGACTATTTCGATTGCATTGCTCATAACATTCGTTTTTTGATGAACTAATGCTCAAATTTCTGCACGGCTATTCTCTTTGAGCTGCTTAGTTGAATGCGGTTTTCCAATTAATGTGGGAATTTATAGACATTATTCATTTACTAAGCAGTTGTCTCAGTAGGTCCATTGTGGCCCTGACTGTATTGGTAGTAGCCCATCCAACCCAGCCCATTGGCACTGATGAATTAACAGTGGGTTTTCTGTACTCAAAAAAAAAGAAAAAACTGTTTTGCTTACTGACAAGACAAGCTGTTTTACTGAAAATGAGCTTCGTCAGATATAATCAGTTGATGAGTAAATTCATAGTTTAATTTAGGTGTTGAGTGTGGACTATGGGTTTTAGTTCCAGCAACTGTATTTTATATGGAAACGTCTTTAAATATTTAGTTAAAATTTGCTAAAACTCCAATGTGTATTATGTTCTAAGCCATGATATTGAGATTTATCATATTAGGCATTATGACCTATACATTTTGTATATCAAGTGTTACAACAATTTTTGATGATATCTCATTTTTAATCTTTAGGTTCACTTAATCTCCCTACTTTTTTATATTATAAACGGTGCTCTTTCTAATCTCCCTTTATCAAATTAGGTGAAAAAAATTGTTATGCTAGAATAGCTATTGCTATGAAAAATTTAAATTAATAAATCTAATTTGATTAATGTAAAAACTATATATATTTTGAGATATTTTGTTGTTCACATGTCTTTTTCCTTATTCTGTAGCTATTCTTTTTTTCTTTCTATTATTTAACAAATACTCTACTTTGTTAATTGAGTTTCTAAAACAATTCAATGGCGAATCAATCTGAATTTTCTGAATTTGTTCTGATCGGATTTCCTGGACTCCCACAGAAGTTCCATCAATTGGTTTCAGTGACAATGTTCCTGGTCTACACTACAGCAGTGCTGGCAAATGGCACCGTAATACTTCTGATAGCTTTTAGAGAACATTTACACCATCCAATGTATCTCATCATATGGAATCTTGCCCTTTCTGACCTCACTTTTGACACAGTTACTTTGCCCAAAACCATCGCCATGTATTGGTTTGCAGATGGGAAGATATCCTTTGTGGCCTGCATGCTCCAGTCATTCTGTGTCAATTATTTGGCTTCTTTTGATTCTTTCATTATCATGCTAATGGCTATTGATCGTTATGTTGCAATTTGTAAGCCACTGAGATATTCTACAATAATCACCAATAACATGACTATTTTTCTCTGCTGCCTTTTATGGCTCATTGCATCATTTTTTGCAATTGCAATTGTTATTTTAGTATCACAACTTCCATTTTGTATATTAAACTACAAAATCAACAGCTGTTATTGCAATATTTCAACGATGATTTCAATAGCGTGTGTTGACTCGTTTCCTATAAGAAGAGTGGCTTTCACCCTTGCTATGAGTGTGCTCCTGATACCCTTGACTTTTATTATATTTTCCTATGTTGTAATAATAAGGACCATCAGTTCTTCCAGGAGCTCAGAAAACTGGCAGAAGGCATTTTACACCTGCTCTACACACTTGTTTATCATTGGCATGTACTTCGTCCCTCGATTATTCTTTTTTACAGCTAATCAACTGCGTTTGATTCTTAATGCTGATTTAAGTGTCTTGCTTCACTGTCTCTACACCTATGTTCCACATCTTGCCAGCCCCATTATATATTGTCTGAGGACAAGAGAAATTAAAAGGACCCTTAGTAATATATTCAAGATAAGCGCTGGAAACAGTGATAGAATTAGATATTGAAGGTGCCCTGTAGAATTGATTTAATTATAAGTAAACAAACTAGCTGAAATAACTGTCATCATATATTGTCCCCCCTCCCAAAGTGAGTAAATCAATAAGTAAGTAATGTATCAACATGAGAAGTTTGTCTCGCTTCAAAAGTATATGAGGATTATATGCATTGTGACAAAGTGTCTTTAATTTTTTCCTGTATATAGATCAATAAGTAAAAATGGTTATGGGTGTCGTCAGGCACTCCCCCAAACCAAAAGTGTAAAAAATAAAATAAAATAAATATATGTATTATTTTTACATAATTATGTATTTTTATTAATTATTATTTGAGGGACCTGCCTGAAAATTTAGGCAGACAGTCCAGAAAGTTACATTTGCAATACAACATAAAAGCTGACGTTTGTACTCGAGAGATTTTGCTGCACACAAATGTGAGTTTTTTAACACAGTAACACAATGCAATAGGCTGTGCATGTCTATGTGGTAAGGGAGAAGTTTCCGCTTTCTGATATTAAATGCATTAGATAGGGAGTGAGATGCGGGGCTGGGTCAGGGTCAACAGGATTTCATCGGCGAATAAATTTGTCTTATACATCCTACCGTCAATCTGTATTCTGTGATGGATGAGTTGTCCCTTATCATTGTCGCCAATGGTTCCGGCGCGAGCAAATGTAACATTGGTGACAAGGGGCATCTTTGTCGGGTCCCAGTGGTGAAAATTTGTCTGATAAGAATCCTGTGTTTAGCACTTGGGCCGCTGGTCGGGAATAGAGTGCTCGGACCAATGAGAGGAAACCTTCCGTTTTATCAAATTTGCGCATGGTAACTGAGAACTGAGTGCTTTTTGGGTAAAGTATAGGACACTCAAAATACTTTGATTCTAGGGGGGATGGGGTTTCTGCAAACCACTCGGTAGTGAACCAAGGCTCCTTTCTTAGCATAAGCTATATAGCAACACTCCAAAATAAACAGAATAAAATCTAAAATAGCCCCATAAATAAAAAAACAAGACAGCATGTATTGTTTTTATCATTTTTTGTAGAAATTCCTTTTTCTACCTGACTACCATTTTAAGTACAGTTACAAGTAGGTGGATGGTTGCGGTTCCAGTAGATGTATATGAAAGACAAAAAGGAACAAAATAAAAATACGACGGTGGGGTGTCTATCTGTATAAGGACCTTAAAATAAAACCTTAAACCAGCTCAGAGATTCTGTGCCTGGGTGGAAAAACCCATACCTGAGGATATATGGTATGTTCTCCTCTTTGGAATGTAAGCCTTCACAGACAATAAATAGAGCCTTGAATAATGGTACAGATTCCACTCTCAGATGTCTTAAATAAAAGTACAAAAACATAGTACTCTCTATAAACACATCTGTGTATTATGTATATTACTATTTTTTTTTCAAATATTTGGTGTTTAATGGAACATATCCCCACTCTGGATATTACTAGGAAAGGTGTATCCCAAATGAAAAGGTATTCAGGAGGAGAAATTAAAAAGGAACTTTATTTATATTTATAAAACAATAAAGGATTATAATAAAACCACTAACGCGTTTCAACTTATGCGCTAAAGATTGAGCAAAACCCTCAGATTGCTCTGGGAAAAGTGAGTAATATCCATTTCTTTCCTTGCACACTTATTGCACCTATTTACCTATGTCAGGATAGTTAGAAAATTGAAATTGCTATTTTTTTTCAGCATGAAATATTATGTAGTTGCCTTGAATAAATAATATATAAATACACAAATAAATGAATACTGTCTGATTCTATTGCAAAAACTAATGTCAAATATCAAGTGTGGTCTTATGCATGAATATTGTTGCAGTCAGATTATTTATGTTTTGCAGTTAATGATGGTATAGATTAAGTGTACATACAATAGATTGTATATTTATTGTTTATCAGCTGTACACAATATTTATTTGTTTTGTATCAGCTACCACTCAACATTCCTAGAATGTAGGATACCAGGAAACTAAATCAGAATGACTGTTCAGGATCACTCAATCAGGACAATTTAAAGAAATTCAAGTTTCTTGAACAATTGGAGAGGAAAAATATATTTAAAATGTAGAACAGACTGAAATGAAATAAAATACTTTTAAACAACATTGCCAAATGACAGAGAATTGAGCAGAGGGACTGCAGGGGTATAATCTGTATACCAAAACTGCTCAATTAGGCCAGAGTTATTTTTGATGCTTAGAGTGTCCCTTAAATAACAATACTTCACTTTTATTGGTCTGTTTTTATCACATAGTTTTACTGTGTGTTATTGTGATGGATAGAAATAAATGTAGGTAAAATGTCTATTTTTATATGAACCTGTGCTCATTCCTTACTCAAAATGGCCGCTAGAGCACCCCCTCCCATCGACCAAAACACTTGTGTAACAAGATGGCGTCTCCATCCGGGACTACACCCAAGATGATGATGACATCAACACTCTGGAGGAAGTACATCAAGATTAAACACTTAACCAATTAAAAGTTTACATTTCATATTTGCACATGATGCATTCTTTTGCCCTTTTTAGGGGGCTACACCCGCCCCCTGAATAAACAATTGGAAGTTTTCATTGCAGGCTTCGGGAGTTTCCCAATTGTCCACTGGACCACTAGGGATCTCATTGGACTACTACAACCCATCAGGGACCCAAGTGGACCCCCAGGAATCCTACTGGATTATCAAGGAATGTATTATTGCCCCTTCCAGCACATGAGCTAAGTAGTGTGGGGGGGGGGAGCTAATGTAATAAAAATTAAATAAATGGATTACTATGTGAAGATACTGTGTTTAACCCCACATATAGTCACTCCCCAACACATACTCAGACCCCATACATTGTCACCCCCAACCATGTAAACCTTGTCACATTTATCACCCCTCACACTCACCCATCACTCTATTAACCACAACAGTGTCACACTCAGCACCCCTCACACTGTCACACTCATTTGAAAACTTGTCACACTCACAACACTCACAACCCTAATCCTGACACATACCCTGTTACACTCAATCCCTCATCTCACCTCTTCTTACCATGAAATCTCACCATCTCAACCTCTCCTCAAGCCCTGTTACACTTACCTTGGCCAAGGAATTAAATAAGATTCGGCAAACTAACAGAGGTAGTCTTTTAAATTGTTAAACAAAAAATTACCATAAAGTCATAAAATATGCATCCTATTGCTTTAGATCATATTGATAATACAAAATAAAATTTTGAAGAAAATATTTAGAAAAAGTTGGCACATATTAAAGGATGAAGAGGTTTGAAAGATCTCTACCACCAAAGCCAAAGTTTGTTTTTAAATGAGCCCCAAACGTTAACCGGGATTTAAATTACATTTGGTTTCAGCTGAAAAAGATCCACTGGTGTAGCTCTTATGGGCAGTTAATCAGATATACTAATTAGTATCATGTATTCACATGGGGGACTTAACATGATGAGAACTGCCCCGATAATAATTCTGCGTACGGACAGTGTAAGCGTTAACATGAACTGTCTCACAATTAACTTACTATTTAAAGTGATGCCTATGTGAATCTTTGTATTTGTAAATGCTAACTTATATCTAAGGGGAATGTAATAGTGGGGTATTGGTATTATGATTTCCAGTGCTGTTTAAGAAACACTTGCCACAGTGTAACAGACTGCACCTTTGATAATTAAAGGGTCACTCCAGACTCTTAAACAATATTAGCTTGCTAAAAGGTTTACGTGTAAAGAATGTGTCTTTTTTTCATTTTGCAAAAAAAAGCAGATTTCAATGAAAATTTACACTGTTATAAATTAACTTGGTTACACCCCCTTGGCTTTCAAGCAGACAACAGGTAATGTTACTTCCTGGTTTCGTTAGCTCAATGCAGCTGACCTCAAGAGGCTGCAAGAGCCCAGAGCACCTGACTTACAAAGACTTCTCATTAAACTGTATTGAGAAGTCTGTGATTGGACAGCCACAGAAAGACTGGGTGGGATTTGAAGAGTAGAGCCTGCAAAAGCAGCAGACAAGAAAACTGCATGTTTTGCAAACTGTTTTTAAATATACCCCAATGAAAAAATACATTATTAAATGCATGCAAGTTTATTTGGAATATATTTACTAAACAGTGATTTTTATTTATTTTATATTTGGGCAGCAGAGTGCCCCTTTAAGCTGGGATCACCCCGGATGAGATTTATGTCTGTGATCACACCTTTTTCTGGCATATACTGTTAAGCATAATCAAGATCCCAGACTGCTCTCATTTATAGGTTTCAAAAAATACTATCTTGGATTGAGAGCTGGCAATATGATCAAAATACTAGCTAGAAGTAAAATGGAATTGGCTTATGTGCTCAAGAAACTAATTCCACAAGGCCTGTAATATTTGTTCTTTCTAAATAAAGTTTTTTTTTTTTTTTAAATATCTTTCTCCTTGATAGGCATGCTCGGGTGCCTAATCCATTGTGCGCATTATGTGTTTCTTTTGTTTAAGTGGCTGTGCTTTCTGGTTCCATCTGAGTGAATCTGCAACAATCACCTGGATGCATTTGGAGTCTGAATTAAAATTAATGAACAAATGACTAATTTTAAAAACAATTTATTCTAAATGCATCTGGCAGGATGCATGTTCACAAATCATCATGCACTTGCTCTTTGCATGTGAATGATAATTGGAAGTACTATTATTTCACTGGTAGCACCAGTAGCAAGTGGGCAAATAGTTCAATGACACTCAGCAATGTAAGGGTAAGCTATGTGGTGGCTGGCCAGCACTTTCTAGCCAACTGCCACATTAAAATGTAGGGTTTGTGCTCTAATTATATAATTCAAGGAAAGATATTGTTTCCACCCAGCCCCCACCCATGGATGGAGGGTGGGTGCTCTAAATTACTATACAGAAGAGTGGACATACCATTGCCCAGCACCCGAATATCTGCCATTGTCCTCAAACCCGCTGGGTGGCTAGGTGTCCCCAAACCACTAGCCAACCCCCATTAAAATACATTAA